AGTCCTACCTTCACACATACATCTTTTGTTCCTTTGAAACTTGGTCTCGAATTAACTTTTACCTTTTTTTTATTATTAAGAAATACAGAGCTCTAAAACAATTATATCCAGACACCACATTTCAAGGTTTAACTAAGAAAAAGATAATCTATCATTCATTTTTTGTAAGCTCTTACAAGACAATTACCAAATATGTCAAATCAATTTGAGTATCATTAATTTAAGGTAAAAGTAAATGTCTTCCCTCCATTGATAGATAAGTAAATTCCTTCTCCCAACTAAACAGTTGTCAGACTGCCTAAAAACACAAACTAGAACGGTATGGTCTTCAATGAGCATTTCTGCTTCCCCTACTCCTATGTGATTTGAAACTAAAATACAGCATATACTCTTAGTTGTAATTAAATATAAAAAAACAGGGTTTTGTCAGAAGTTAACTTAGCAGTCATAAGCACAGATGCTACACTATTGATTACTGTTATTTAAAAACCAACAATGACAGATATGTTGGTTAAATCAAAGTTCAGACAGTACTAAATCAGTAAGTAATATAGAACAGCCTTAAAAATCACTTAAAATATTTCTTACATAAAGGAATGGTCAACTATTAATATTCAGTGAGCAACTATCTCCAAAAAAGTTATATAGTATATGTATTTTAAGTCCTTTATTATAAATAAAGTTTTCTAAGGAGCTCTGGTGATGAAGCACCTAAGGCATTTGACTGCTAACCAGAAGGCTGACAGTTCAAACCCATCAGCCACTCCTCGGAAGGAAGGGTGGGCAATCTACTTCCGTAGAGATACCATCTCAGAAACCCAAGTTGGAACTGACTCAATGGCAGTGCGTTTGGTAAGGTTTGGATGTGCCTATGTATCTATTCTGGTTACCTAGTGCCACTCTGACAGGAATATATACCACAAATGGGATGGCCTTAACAAACAGGAGTTTATTCTTACAATTTGGAGGCTTTAAGTCTAAGTTCAAAGTGCCAGGCTCTAAGGACTGGATGAAAGCCCCTCAACCTTGGGGTTCAGCTCTGCCTCCTGCTCCCAACCCACTGAAGCTAGAGGTTTTTCTTCACTCAGATGGCTGCTGGCTGCTGAGACTAACAAACCCAAGGTTAACAAGTAAAAAGGCACAGTCCAGATGTTACCAAACCACAAGGCAGCCCATTAATTTAAGTCCATTGTAAGTACCAAGGTTGGCAGAGCATGGCAAGCTGCTGAATAACTACACAGCTGCATACAGGGTCCAAGCATGACTTAAGCCAGAGACCATTCCCAAAGCTGCTTCTTATATACGGGAAACAGACCACATACCCAAAGCAGCTACTCAGCTGCTTGGGGTAGATTCCACCATGGAACTGATTGCCAGTCTCATCATGAGGAATAACTACCACTAGCTGCCCAGCCTCTCTGGTAGCATAGTGCCTAAGGCACTTGACTGCTAACCAGAAGGCTGGAGGTTCAAACCCACCAGCCACTCCTCGGAATTAAGGTTGGGCAATCCTACTTCTGTAGTGATACTACCTCGGAAACCCAAGGAGGGGTCGCTAATGAGTCAGGACTGACTCGACTGCACATAACAACAACAACAAGCTGCCCAGCCATTCAACCAGGCCCAGCCAAGATGACACACAAACATAACCACCACAGAATCAATTATAATTTAAAACATTCTGTCATAAGATGATTTCTGAGAATCGCCACACAAGAGAAAAACTTACAAAAAGAAAGGAAGAACTAAGATCCAATTCGGACTATGCAACGCTAAAGAATAATGTAGAATCTGCAAAACACCGCATAACGTGGATGAACTTGGAGGACATTATGCTGAGTGAAATAAGTCAGTCACAAAAGGACAAATATTGTATTAGTCCGTTATTGTGAAAGTTAAGGAAAGGTTTATATATTGGAGGACATTTTCTTTGTTGGTTACCAGGGGTGGGAGGGAAGGGGAGGGAATGCTGTTAGATAGATAGAGATAAATATTGATTTGGGTGAAGAGAAGGGCAATGTACCAAATGTGAGTGACCAATATGGCAGCATTGAGGATGAGAAAGACAGAGAGAGTTACATGGGCAGTACAAACAACAAATATGAACCCCTTTGTAAATACAATACTGAGTTGTCAATGAAAGCAAACATGGGTATAGGGACGGATAGATGGGTGAACAAGCTAAACAATTATGTATGTCTAAATGGAGAGTGTATCCAAGATCATATACAGGGTTGGCAGACAATGGGCCTCTCGAAGAGTATGAAGGGATGGCACTGGGAGGAGGTAACTATGGGGAGGAAGTGGGAGGGGAGCTGCTGCATTGTAAATTTTGGTCAATGACATGAGACAAAGTATATGTGAACTGCTGTATGAAAAGTGAATTTACTCTGTAAATCTTCACCCAAATCCTAATTAAAAAAAAAAAAAAGATCCAATTCGGACCGAAAAGACTATCAGAGTACATTTATGTCTAAACTTTTTAAGCTAAAATACTTACCTGTCATACTCTTGATTTAAAACTTAATTGTACATTTTTCCCAACTATGGTTTCAACTTCTTATGCAGCATAACAATTATACTTAAGTCCCTGGAAAACTGAAAAAAAATTTTTTTTTTTTTGCTGATGACAATCTTGAATCCAACTTTATCTATTAGATTATAGTCAAATCATGTGTAAATTGCACTGAAAAATAAATGATTCCAGATGTCCAAGCATATGGCTGATACATCTAACTATACCTATCCAAACGTGAAGACAGTTAAATGGGTAGGTATTTCAGTATTGGCATACCAAAAAAGAAAGAGAAAATTTATCTATAACTCAAGAATTCCTAAGAACACTTACCATGCTGTACTTGGCTAGCTGTAATAGTTAGCTAGGGCAGTGTTGAATTCAGAAGTATTTACTCTAAGATATTGCCTATATATTTCTGCATAATTTCACATGAAAAACCCAAAGGGGGGGGTTAAGAAACAGAAAATAATTTTTTTTGGCTATATCTTTAAAAATTTGGGGATGATTAATAAAGTGTTTAAGTTTCATGTTTTGTTTCCAGCTTTACAAGAGAATTAAGCAACCAGTTACAAAGTTGCTGTCAAGTCAAATCCATGTGTGTCAGAGTAGAACGGTACTCCATAGGGTTTTCAAGGGCTGATTTTTTGCAGTAGTTCACCAGGTCCTTCTAATAAGGTGCCTCTGGATGAACTCAAAATGCCAACTTTTCAGTTAGCAGCCATTAACCCATCTACACTGCTCAGGGAATCCTACGAGAGGAAAATTATGTAAAATCCACCTATAACCCCAAACCATTCAATTTTTTGTACAGTAAGAACAAACAGTATAGGGCAAATTTCAAAAACAAGGGCAAGACACAGTTTCTGAAATTCAAGAATCAATAATAAAGCATCTCAACATGCTTCACAATCTAGACAAACTTTTCATTTTTAAAAAGATGTGGAGATGGTTAAAAGGGGCATGCAAAAGAGAAACAGTTCAGGGAAAATCCTACGTACTAAACCCTCCTCTCCATTCCACATCCCCAATTTCTGAGTGCTTTCTGCAGCTGACAATTATACCCCTTAACCTAATAAAAAAATTTTATATCATATTCAAGTACCTCTCAAACTGGCAAAAGAAAATGTGATATTCAAGGACTTGTAATACCATTTCTAACAAGATGTCCCCAAAAAAGATATTTCTTAAATTTATAAATGTGTAACCATCTAAATGTGGACAATGAATAGGGAAGACCGAAGAAGAGTTGATGCTTTTGAGTTGTGGTGCTGGCGAAGAATGCTGAAAGTACCGTGGACTGCTAAAAGAACTAACAGATCTGTCCTGGAGGAAGTGCAGCCAGAATGCTCCTTGGAAGCAAGAATGGCCAGACTTCGTCTCACCTATTTTGGTCATGTTGTAAGAAGGGACCATTCCCTGGAGAAGGATGTCATGCTTGGTAGGGTGGAGGGTCGACGAAAGAGGGGGAGGCCTTCAGGGAGATGGATTGATATGGTGGCTGCGATGATGGGCTCAAGTATAGCAGGGATTGTGGGGCTGGCGCGGGATCGGGCAGTGTTTCGTTGTGTTGTGCATGGGGTCGCTATGAGTCGGAAACGACTCAACGGCACTTAACAACAACAACAACAACCATCTAAATGATGTATACTTTCAAATTTAACATAGCAAGCACGATCATTTGATGAGCAAACGGTTATGTAATTGCTATTGTATGTCCCTCAATTAATTATTTTATAACCACAGCTCGGTGTGTGTGTTTTAAGTACTGCAATTTTTCTCAAGATTGTTGTTTTTCTAAATTCCAAATTTCCAGGAATATGACAATGCTTCTCTAAGGAATAGCGAATGAAAAAAATATATTGTCAGTAATTTTAAGATCCACCTCCTCACATAAGCAGTGATTCAGGCTGATATGACATCTCAAAGCTCCTCAGAACTATATACCACGCTGCCGTACAAACATCAGTAGATAACTCGGGGATGGAAGAAATGCCATCTTATATTTTGACGTTGTACTTAATACCTACTTCAAATGTTTCTCCTCTCTTATCTCAATGGATCTTCACAACTACCTCAAGAGGTAGCTGGTAAGTAAGGGAGGTGGCTCACCACCCAGAGACTCTAGGGATCATCACACAGAGGACACGCACACCGTTACTTCTTCAACTATAGTAACAAAAGCGATGACAAACCCTCTAGACTCTAGAAAAAATTAGTGATCTCAACTAAACACCACCAAACTTAAATTTTTCAAGCACTGTTTTCCCTCCTGGCAGTTTCGCCACTTCAGTGGCCACCGGAGAACTGCGGCGGGGCTGCGGAGACAACGGAGAGGCCCGGCGAAGGGAGGGAAGAGGGTCGACGCCAGGACAGTGCCCACCTCGCGCACCCGGGCCGGGGTGAAGGGAGCGACGATGCTTGGCTCTGGGAACAACACCTGGGTGACACCCTCACCTGCCCAGACCAGCCCAGACTCACTTACCTGCGGAGCCGATTTCCATTCATGTAGCTGGGGGTAGTGCTCCGAGTGAGAACTGTGCCCGCCACTGGGGGCAAGGAAGCGGCGCGGGGGACGACGCGACGCGACAGACACTATCACTCGGCCCCGGGACGGGGGCGGTGACGGCGTCTCCTCAGCAACCGCACACCGAAAGCTCGTGTTAATTAGAGCTGCTGGTCGGGAGACAACACAGGACTAGATAAGAGGAGAGACAGTCATTAATCTAGAGAGCGAAGCCGTGTCCGGAACTTGCATCGCCCGCGGCTGCTTACGCTACCAGTGCTCCTCCACGACTACCGTGCCACCGACCTCCCCCGGGGGACGCCCCCGGAAGTCAGCTGGCGTCAGTTCCGCTGTCCCGGCTCGCACGACGTCGAAGTTTCGCCTATACGCCCCAAGCCGTGCGAGGGCGACGTCGGTGCGGGCGCGGCCGACAAGGAGGACGCGAGGGAGGTGTTGAGCAGCTGGCGAGGAGAGAGCGCGGAGCCTGGGTGGAGTACTGGGCACGCGCGGCAGGGTTTGACCCGGAGGAGAGCGGGGCGGAGCCGGCCTGCCAGAGGTTCTTCGCTGGTTGTGGCGGATGAAGACAACCCTGAGACTAACTGGGCTCTTTGCGCGACCTTGCTACGGGGGCGGGGCCTGCCAGAGGCGATGTCTCGGATAGTGGCGGCGCTCACCTGAGGAGGAGCCTACCTGAAGCGAGGCCTATCCGCGTGAAGGATCGTACCTACACCTTAAAGGCCCTAGGCCTAGCATGTCCTGGACTGGGCCATTCTTCTTTCCGAACCCACTCCTACTCCACCCCCAGCCGCGCAGTTTGAGTTGCTTGGAGCGCCTCTTCCTCAGCTAAAGGTCAAGTAACCCATACAGTTGGTAGTTCCAAAGTCCGTAGGGTTGCCTAAACGACTTTATTTTGGAAAATGTACAAATAGTTTGTTAAAAGATAATTTAAAAACAAGACATTACACAAAAATCAGACTGAATAATTCCAATGATTAAAACTCTTTAATAGCTCCTCCACTCGCTGAGAAAATCCAAACTCCTTTCCAGGGCCACAACGCACTACGATAAATGGCCCCTTCTCCCTGTAAGGCTCTTCCTGATCGCTTAGCTAGAGCTACGCTGTTCTAATTTCCTCTACCGGCAAGTACTTTCCTTTCTGTCCGCAAGCCTGCTTTTGGTTCCCTTGCCCAGGAACTCTCTCCTGTTCCTGTCTAATCTACCTTCCCGCCTCATCCCACACCCAATTTAAGGCATCTCAAAGAGGTCTATCTTGGACCACTCAGCTAAGTTAGGACGTCACTGTTATTGTATTATAATACTTCCTTACTAACGCTTCTTTCCATCTGTAATCTTGTAATAGTTTGTGTGCACCTTTCTACTAGCGTGTAATAAGCCTCATTAGGAAACCAGAGCCAGCACTCTGGCAAATATTTGTTGTCTGAATGAAACATGATGTTATTTAGACTGAGGGATGATACACGTTTCCTATGTCCCTAAATATCAATAAACCAAAACCAAACTCAGTGCCATCCAGTCGATTCTGACTCATAGGGCCCTCGGGTTTCTGAGGCGTATCTCTGCATTAGTATATGCCCAGTCTTCCTTCCAAATAGTGGCTGGTGGTTTTGAACCCAACGGCCAGCCTTCTGGTTTGGTAAGCAGTCAAAAGCCTTAGGCACTATGCCACCAGAGCTCCCTAAACATCAATAAGATTGTTCAGACTTTTTTTTTAATCGAAAAATATTTTCTTTGAGAAGATGAAAAAAAGGAGAAAAAATACTCTTATCTTCAATTCCTCCCACTCACTGTGGTACTCTGTATCAGTCACTTGATCTTTTTTGCACTTCAGTTTGCTCATCTGAAAAAATGGAGAATAATATGTACCCTAAACAGTTCTGAAGTTCGAGGATGTACAGAAAGCAAAGAGGAATTTACCTTTTATCTTTTTTAGGCTCCTATTAGATGCACCTACCATACAGTAAATGTTTAATAAATGGATATCTGTCTGACTTCAATTCTGCCTCACTTTCTTCTTCCTTCCCATCCCTACTGTGAATGTAAATGCCTTTCTCCAATTTGAAAATATGAAATCTGTCACCAGATTAAATTGTCTTTTAAGTTTTCAATCTTTGACTACACAATTCAAGTCGTGGTAGCAGCATTTGAAAGGGTAAATACCAACTTGTGTGAGGAATTCCCCTGACTCGATCTAGTTCCCTAAATGGTTCCAAGCGTTTTCACATTCTCCAAGATGAAATGTGATGATGAACCCCAGAAGTGAGCCACTGTTTTCTTTTCTGACATTCATAGAGGATTTAGATTTAATAAATGTACATGACGTCTTCCCATCTACTTCTGGTATCCCTCCACTTCTTTAGAATTAGCCCGTGTTATAGGTTGGGCAATCCTACTTCCGTAGTGATACTGCCTCGGAAACCCAAGGAGGGGTCTCTATGAGTCGGGGCCGACTCGACGGCACATAACAACAACAACAACAACAACAACAAAGGCTCACGAATTATATCAGGAAGTGGCAAGGCAAAGAGTAAAAATGATTCCATCAAAGGCAAAGCTTAATCAGGCACTGCCTTTAACTTCCTTCTCCCTCAACCCCTACAACAAGAACAAGCACGCATGCACACAATTTTTGGATAGCCTCATTCCCCACTGAGGCTGTTGTCAAGGGCTGGATCTTTGTGTGTCTGGCTCACTACCAGTTCCTATAACTGGGTCAGTGCCTGACACACAGCAGAATCAGTAAATATTTGCTGGATAGATGGATGGAGAAATAAATGAATGGGCTTCAAGTATAGGGCTCAGGAAGAAGGCTACAACTCTGCTCTTATGCCTTGTGGCACTGATTGCTCTCAGAAGGGAGAATTATAGAAATAGTACAGAAATTTCAGGAGCAGGAAAATCAGCTCAGCTCTCTGAAAGCTGAGCTGCCTGAGCAGCCAGCAAATACCCAATACAAAATTTCTTAAAATATAATACAAAAAGCACAAATTAGAAAAAAAAAAAAGGCAACAAATTTGTTCAAATGAATGGGACATCAAATCTTAACATTTTTGTTCTTCAAGATGAAAAGGCAAGCCACAGATGAGGAGAAAATATTTGCAAAATATGTATCCAACAAAGCTCTGGTGGTATGGTTCCTAAGGCATTGGACTGCTAACCAGAAGGCTGGCAGTTCGAAGCCACCAGCCACTTTGTGAAAGGAAGATGGGACAATCTACTTCTGTAGATCTATTACTTCGGAAACCCAAAGGGGTCACTATAAGTCGGAATCAATTCGACAGTGAGTTTGGTTTTGGTTTTCTTACAACTGAATAAGACACCTCAATTTGAAAATGGGCAAAAGATGTGAACACTTTAACACAAAAGGTACCTGGATAGCACATGAAAAGTTGAGCAATATCATTGGTCATTAAGGAAAAGCACAAGCTACCAAATACCCAGTGCACTCAGGAAAGACAGGATGGTCAGCTGCCTGCTTTAACTGTTGGCACATCCCTAAGTCTAGTAAATCAGGCTCAGGGGCTTACTTTGCCTTGTCTTATTCCTTGCTACCACTGTTATTCCACTCCACTTAGGACTTTTGTATTCCTAGGCTTCCTGTGTTAGATCTAAGAATCATTACTGGGTGTGGAGAGCAACTGGATAGAGTCCTCTCCTCTCTCATGGACTGAAGTACAGTCAACTTGGCACCTGAGTTCCCATCTCTTCACCTGGACCAGCAGTTTCTACAAGGCAGAAAGTAAGCTACTTGTACTTTTCCCCAACTGCAGCATGACACAATATAAAACATAGGGGGTTTAGGGACAAACAGAACTAAGATTGAAGGCCCTCAGTTACTAGCTGTGATCCTGGGACGTCACTGATTCCCTCTGATTCACATTCTTTATCTATAGAAGTCAGAGCACCTACATAGAACAGACACTGTGGGTCCCACAGTTTTATCCTCTTATTTCTTGCTCTTAGACTAGTCTTTCTAGTCCACATGACTCAGAGGTAATTCCTGATTAGTCTAAGCCACTCATGATGGTCTGTCAATGAGAGGAGTGGGCAGATGACCAATTCCTTCCAGATTAGACATGAGGTCAGATCTCTGGGGCTTCTTGGGAAAGGTACTTCTGATTTCAAATGAGACTGTGGGAAAAACGAGTGCCTCTTCTGCTAGACATCATTCTCTCATCATTTCCTTTCTAGAATTCCGGCAGCCACCTTGGGATAATGAGTTGAACTAGTATGAGGATAAGACAACACAGAGGACAGTGTAGCAAAACAATTGCAAGAATCTGGTTCCCTGATGTTATAATTAAACCACTTAATTAAACAACCTTATACCCACTGCCATCACTTGATTTTGACTCATAGCAACCCTCACTGGGTTTCTAAAGCTGTAAACCTTTATGGAAGTGGACTGCCTCATCTTCCTCCCATGGCAGGTTCGAACCACCTACATTTTGGTTAGCAGCCAAAATGTGACTTAATCACACCACCACCAGAGCTCCTATAACCAACCTTATAGACATCTTAAATCATGACTTCCTATACAAAATGATAGTTTCCTTATTTAAACTTTTGTTTTATGAAATTTAAGGCAAAGTAACTGATAAACAACTTTGCCATGACAATGCAATTAAATGAGATGACAAACTGTACAACATTTAGGTACTTCAGTTACCCAAGCCCTTCTTTTCCAGTTCATTCCCATTACCACCAGTCAATACCCCTTTCCTCAAATCCTGGCTGAGTGCCTCCACTGCTTCTTTTAACTGAAAAGCAGCTTCCCTGCCTTTGATTTAGAAGAGGACGTGGAACAAGGGATATCATAGCTGTTGTCAGATGGATCTTGGCTCAAGGCAAAGAATACCAGAAAGATGTTTACTTGTGTTTTATTGACTATGCAAAGGCATTTGATTGTGTGGATCATGACAAATTATGGATAACATTGAGAAGAATGGGAATTCCCAAACACTTGATTGTACTCATGAGGAACCTGTACCTTGACCAGGAGGCTGTCGTTCGAACAGAACAAGGGGACACTACATAGTTTAAAATCAGGAAGGGAGTGCATCAGGGTTGTATCCTTTCCCCATACTTATTCAATCTATATGCTGAGCAAATAATCCGAGAAGCTGGACTATATGAAGAAAAACGTGGCATCAGGATTGGAGGAAGAATCATTAATAACCTGAAATACGCACACGAGAACTTTGCTTGCTTAAAGTGAGGATGACTTAAGGCACTTACTGATGCAGGTTGAAGAGTACAGTCTGCAGTATGCATTATGTCTCAATATAAAGAAAACAAAAATCCTCACAACTG